TCATGATAATTATATTATTTTTATATTCCTCATTATATAATTAAATTTGAAATGATTTTATTTTAAATTTATACTTTATTATCTTTCATATTTTTTTTTATATTCGAATATAACATACACATATGAATAAATTATTCATTTATTATAATTCCAGAAAATTCATAAATAACTTAACTAGAAATATTTAATTGTTTCATGTATTAATTATGAAAGATATAAAAGATATTATTATATAGATATAGATAGATATAGATGTAGATATAAAGCTGCGTGTAAAAATTTGAATTCGGTTAAATAAGTGATCTACGAGTTCATCAAAAAACTTTTAGTAGGCAATTCCTTATAACAATATTAGTATTAAACAATATAGTGAAAAAGAATTTCATATAAATTTATATTTGAGAAGATAAGAGAGATAAACTGCATACCATGTGCTTGGAAAGTGTCCGGCACTTATGCTCATGCGGAAAAAACACCTAGAGCGGTATTTCATGGATCATATGTTAAGGATTCAAGACTAGGAAATATAGGCTCTGTACTGTCTTTCATTAAAGAAATCGGATTTGGAGAAACACTCTAATCCGACTAAAGGGAACAATAGATTTTTTAAGGGAATATTCCTGATAACATAAAAGTTTATTTTATATAATCATAAAGTACACATATGTATTTAAAATTTTCTTAAGTTCTTAAACTTAGCTTATAAACATAAAAATTGAGAAGTGATATATTCATTTCTTATCACTTATTAATAATATTTCCCAATACTAAAATATGCTTAATACTTACTTAATATAACCGAGATCTGTAGCAATAGCAGTAGCATTCGCTGCACGTCGACCAGACTGACATGTGAATATAATTACAGCGTCCATTGCTGGTTTTTCTCGTCCATAAGTTTCCAAAAAACTGGCATCACCTCCAGTTAAAGCTTCCTGTAATTCAGGCACTAATAAAAAAAAATTGACATTTCTTTAAAATTAAATCATTAATTGATGATATATTTTTCTGAAGTATAAATTGTATACTATACATAATTAGTTTTTAATTTATTCAAAAAGAAAACCTTATTAATTTTAGTTGAAAATAAATAAATAATCATTAATATATATTAAAAATTTTTATAATATAAGCAATTAACAATAATTATTTCACAACAGATTTAACCTACTGTAGGGTACAGGTCATAAAATTTTCGATGATTAAGTCATTCTCCCCTTGTTTACTTGAATTCATCTGACTTAATCTTGTTTCTTCTTAATGATCGTATATTTGTTGTGTTTAATAGCTTTGCTTGAGGTTTTATAAAAGTATATAAAATTATAAAAGTTTTAAAAATAAAACTAAGAACAAAGCTTCTAATTTTTTTTGCATAGTCACGGTTAAAAGCACTTTTAAACAATTTACTAAGCGTGTGTAAAACTAGTTGGTCAATACCGACTTTGTATGGTATATATGGTAAAAGTTACTTATTGTGTGACTAAGTTCATTTATTACTTTTATTTGATCTAATTACGGTCTTTCACCATTTTTTCACTTGACCATCGTTTAATTAAGATAGTAATGTTATTGAAGTAAAAGTCAAAATAAATAATCTTCTTCGCTTTCTCAAAATGTTTCTATCGATATCCTAATTGTCTATATTATCTTAACTTAAAACAATACGATCTGACAGTCAACTCCAATCTTGTGTTATCACTGGTTTTTGGCTTATATTATGTATTATATTATGTTTCTCAAGATTATAGTAACAATCAGTATATTATCCCAAACATATTTCATCGACTTGTTTGGTGATTGGCTGACCGACCAGAGCCTGGTTGTTATCTTCGAAAAAAATGTGCTAAGAAGAATAATTATATAAAATGCATTTAAGGCTAAGGAAATGTAAACGTGGACAGAAATTAAAGAATTATAGCGTTCCATTATTATTAAAAACTAAAATGAATAATCATATGGAAAGAGTTTTGAGATATTGTGATTCAGAATCATCGAAAACATTCTGAAGGAAAGAAAGAAGAAATAGAGTGAAGAAGTAAAACCGCACTGTTAGCTATAGTACTAAAATAAACGTATTAGTATGATTTTATTACATTGCGAAAACAATATTAATAGTACATATTAATTGCCATTTTACTTAATGATATTTATCGTGATAGTGGTTTTAAAGAGCAGAAATAATCTGTTTTTCAAGTTCTTTGTCAATGCCCACCATTAACATGTAGAAGTCTAGAAATCTTTTGGATACTTATGATCCTTTTGAAGTTCTTTCTGACTTGTGTATAAACAACACTGATCTGTAGTTTTAAAATAGACATTATTAGAGCTGAAATATGTTTTGGTGCACAAGACCGCCACTCCAACCATAATCAAATTGGCAATTTAAAACTGTTGAGTAAATGTTATAGTATTAAAAACTAAAGTAAGTCAATATATGCATCATATAGGATATATGCACATATTTTTCAATAGCAGAAGTAGAATACGTACTTGTACAGACGAATTTTTTACACACAGCTCCAATAATAAACTAATATCGATTAATGAAAGTATAGAAGTACACACACACACACATACGCGCAAAAGTATCTACTGTGTATAATATTGATTAAAACAAAGTCTCTTAATATTTAATTAATTTAATTAATTATTTTGAACCACATAAAAAATATTATTTCTTCTATTCATTAGCAACAGTTGATAACCGCCATATTAAACCACTTATATAGAACATCTGTTTTCTAAAGTAATAGCGTTTTAAATACTTGACAAAAAAATTAGACAATTCTATTTGATATATTTTTTCAATAAACAACTTAGGAATATAAAAAAAATTCCCATTATATTGTATTGTATTGTTAAATTAATAATAATTTAATATAATTTAGTTAAGCATTCTACTTACATGGTATGTTAATGCTTCCTGGAATAGAACCGGTATTCGCAATCTCATCTCTGTTTCGTACATCAATTAAATATTTCTCTGGATGATTTGGAATGTCTTTAACTTCCTCATAAGTTGCCATTTTTAATTTCCACTAAAAAATAAACCATTCACTTGAGCGATGTATTAGTAACTAAACTTAGCCAAACAAATGAAATCAGTTTCTGTAAAAGTTCTATCGATAGATACACTGTGTCTACACCAATAAACACGTAAGAATACAAATATAAATGTGATTAACCAAACTAAACAGCTGAACACTTGAAAAGAGAAATCACTGAGCTTGTCTTACCTAATTATAATAACAAATATAATAAATATTTTTCCATTACAAAGATTAAAACAAATCATTTCAGTCAGATAAACTTTTAAAAAATAGTTAGCATAGAAGATTTTTGGTATGCTACATTGGTTTATTATTTAATATTTTATTTTAATTTGTTTTTATGAAGCTTTGTATTGAGGTGCATTTAATCGTTTACACTTTGTTGTGTTAATAAAAGGATTAAAATAAAATTTCATTTAGAAAACTATATTTTATGCTCTTTTTAATTACATATGGAAAAGCACATAAATAGTACATATTACATACATGTACATATGTAAATGCATCAAACAGAGTAGTTATCAAAGACAACATGTGTTTAGTTTAAAGTTTTCCATTTTACATTATAGACCGTTTAACAACCACTGTACATTTTAAAATTATGAACATATAAAAAACTATAAATAATATAATTATATAAATAAAATTATATATAAAAATATATATAAAAAATGGCATGGTTTTTTATAAATGATTTTGGATATGTTATTATTATTATTATTATTATTTAAATAGGCTATTTGTGCACCCCGACCTAAAAGATCTATTGTGCGCCTATAGGCCCAACTAGGACAATTTTAGACTATTTATAAATCTTATAATTGCAGTGGGCTTAATTTTACCTATTTGATTTGAGACCAGGATCCCGCTACCAAGGTAATCGAGTCTACGTCTTGCCACCGCTGGGCAGTTGCATAGAACATGTTCTGATGTTTCCTTCTCCTCATGACAGAGTCGACAGGAATCACTTTCTACCGCACCTATAATCTTCATGTGGTAATTAAGTCTACAGTGTCCTGTAAGTTTTATTAAACAAAAATTTTTTATTTGGATATGTTTCAAACAAAATTATCAAATCTGGGGTTCAATGAAAACTCACATTGTCTCCACAAAAAATCACTTTATTGTATGACATTTTCTTTAGAAATGCGATATGTCCACACTGTTTTAAAAATGACTAAGATGTGACACAAGTCATCAAATCTGATCGTTACAGTCATGAGAACGAAATAGGAACCAGCAGAAGAAGAGGGCGACCAAGAAAACGATTGAAAGACAGTGTATAGCAGGATTTAGAAGAAATGGACATAAGAAATTGGAAAACAAAAGCAAGAAACAGAAGAGAATGGAAGGATGTTTTTAAACAGGCTTACGTCCTACTTAGACTGTATAGTCACGGATGATGATGATCGTTACAACCATATGATTGCAATTATGATATGGTACTGTTAGCAAAGACAGAAGGCAAACAAATTAAAAGAAGACTGCGTTCTTTGAGATTTAGTTGTAAATATGCAGAAATCTCTACTTATGATATTTCCAAGACACTCAAAACGATAAAAAAACTGTTACATAAGTAATAAAAACTAAAAAATTCTTTGGCATAGGTGGAAACATAAAAATGGTAGCTGCAGTATACATGTAACACAAAAAAATGCCAAATAAGAGTTCAATAGGACTTTGAAGCATGTAATGTCAAACAAATATGTAGCAGTTTCCATTAAGTATAAACAATATGAATCGTCGATAAGGTGGACTCTAACTTATGCGATACAAGTGCGGCGAATAAATTGATTATGCAGAAAATCTGTTATAGTTTTATAACAGAAAGTTTTAAATAACTTTCCAGCTATCCAGAAACATGCGTAGCTTTATGATTCCCATAGGTACTAGTCAGCTAACAGTACATACATAAGTGCCTTCAAGACGCATATTGATTTATCAACTACACTCTGAAATTGTCTAAAAAAAAATACTGCTACAATTTATATCATACTGGGCCCTTATTTGATCTTAAGTGGGCGTTGGTACTGTAATCTTGGTCGCCACTCTAATCTAACTACAATGAAGCAAGTCTTAGAGCAAATAGTTTTATTCTTTTAAAATTGGACTGAAATATTGACCGAAATTCAAGAGCTCCTTTATATGAGTGATGTAACAAGCTCCAGATTTTAGCAGTTAAGGGTATTAGAAAAAATCAGAGAAAAACAATGGGCAATGTTTATAGAGAAAGTAAGAAGTAACCTCACAAGAATTGTATTCATTCAATGCATAGAAAATTGCATAAAATAATGCACAAAAAAAAAATTTTAAAACATATTCTTGCCTAAATATACATATGTATGTATGTGAATTACCTGAAATTATTATATATGAAATATAAATTAAATTAAACCCCAAACAGATGATTACATCAGTCATTACCGGAAGATTGAAGATAAAGTAGATTTTAAATGTGATTAATTTTTAATATATTAATAGAAACAACTACTTACTAAAATAAATAATTATAAGATCAGATTGTTTGTATAAAAGTTTTATTTATTTTTATTTTTATAGGTATATCCAGAACTTCGATATAAGCATAGTTTGTATAAAAAAAAATAATTAATATAGAATTGAATTATTAAATTTGTGAAAATTTTTCATTTTATTTGCATTTTTGTTTACAAACTTCTGACATATGATTGGAATATTCGTTGAGATTTCTAATGAACGTTCACAATAGTTCACATGTTGCGTTGGTAATCCTTTATTCTTTACTGGCTAACATACTTGGCCACTTCACAACTAGGTGCTTAGACAGAGAAAGTAGTGTTGTTGTTTTGCGTATATTTAAGCAACTATAGGCCTAATATAACATCACACACAAATGTTTTTGGTTATGATTTTATTTAAATGCTACAATGTTGGAATATGGAAGAGCATTGTTTATCCGTGTTGAAAACTCTGTCGATTCATCGTATGCATCCAGATATATGCTTGTACCCAAATCAGTACTTCTACTGAATAAACCATTTACTGCTGGTTCTATAAAGTGTCGTTCGACTTTAATTTCACCATATAATATGCTAAGCTTATTTTATATTCTGCGATAATAAATCCTTTTTTTGATTTATTTTGAATGACATTAGTTTAATTTGGGACTTATGAGCTCAAATCTGAAAATCTTTTTTTTCCAAGACATCTAAGTCTTTGACAATAATGGATTAAAATGTAAAAACTAAGATCTTATATGGTTAAGAGATTTTAATTATAAGAGATACAAGTTTCATGTATTCATTAATATACAACAAATAAATAGATAAACATTTTTGCTCTAGATATTATTTCCCAAATTCGACTTCGTTCCGGTCAAAAAGAGGGATTCTTCATATAACTTTTAAGAATGTTCTTTTTTTATAGTTTGATTTTAAAAATTAATCTTCTTCGAAAAGGAAGGAGAAGGATGTCTGCGGTAAAAATATTTTTGTATTGATTCGTAACAAGTTAAGTGATGACTTGAAATTCGAATCGTTTTAAATAAAAAATTTTTTTTATTAACAATTTGCTGTAAGTAGAAAACTTGGTTAATTCAGTAATTTTGTATATATAATTGAATATAGTTAAGACTAAAATTAAAACATATGGCTGGGCTATATGTATATGTAAACATTTGGGCTTGCTTTGCATCTAATCACACTTGACCAGTTTTGGTTTATGTTTCCCGAGATATGTATGTATACATGTACATTAAAGTCGTTAAGGTAAACATTGCTTCCCATTAACTTTCTTCTAAAAAGCTGGTCACCTTAGATCATCAAACTTTAGTGTTAAGAATATTCTTATAGTAAGTACAAGTATTTTAGTACAAGTACATGAAAGCTAAAATAAACAATTATGTTTTAAATTGCTTTATATAGTAGGATTTATAAAATGTTTGTGGAAATTTAATTTTTTTATTCATTTAATAAATCATTCATCCATTAACAATAAATTTGTTTTTGCATATGATGAAGAGGAACTTTGAACAATTTTACAATTTACTCTTTATTCAGCATCATCGCTTCAAATTGACTCAACTCAACTATATAAAAAGTTTGCTCTCATTTGAAACTGCTCTCACTGCATATTTAAAAATAAGCTCTTTTAATACATACTGATTTCGATTATTTAGTTTTACATATGTATGTATATAGTTGAAGTATTATTATTAAATAAAATCACAAATTCAAGTTACAAATGTATATTATGCGTACTATTATGCGTATTTGTGCCGAAATATACAACTGGACTTCTTTGAACTCTACGGTACAGCATAAAAACTTATATATGTATGTAAATAAGTACATACATATATAAAAGTGTATGTATGCGCATAAATATGTATTCAGTTTATAGACATAGACATAATTTAAGATAATATAATTATATATGTATGTACATATGTACATTTTTATGTGTTAAAGGTATTTTCCTTTTCTGGTAAATAAGTTTGAAATACATAAAAGCAAATACCGGCCGGCATTTTTATTCTTTCTCCCAAAGAGTACTCGCTCTCTCATTTTGAAACTGTTGATTTGAGTGATTTTGTTAAATAATTTCTACACTCTTCTAGATGCTTTTGCTAGAATTTTTTTCAGCGCAAATTTGCGTATAAAAGCAGAGCAAACGTCGGCAAGAAAACAGTTTCAAGTATAAAGCAGATTGTGAAAGTTTGTTTGAAGCAAGTTCTATCTGAAATAACCAAAGAATTAAAATGTCGCTAATATTGAGCATGTTAGATGATTTGGATCATGAGATGCATAATCCATTCTATGATTTTGGTATTGGATTACATCCTCATCATGTTCAACATCAGCCACGTCGTCACCATGATGCGATTGCTGCACACGCCATGCCATTAGGCGTCTACAATCGTCCTTTGGTACGTCGTAATATGCAACAAAATGGCGGACCAGTATCAACTATCGGCAAAGATGGTTTCCAAGTTTGCATGGATGTGGCTC